TTTCAGAGTCAACGTTATGATTACAAAGAGAAAACAAGCAAACAGGGAATAACTTGACCTGGTTTTGTCGCTTTCCCATTCTAGCCTGACAATTTGTCAATCAGGTGGAATTTCCTCCAACGTCTTTCATACATTGCTTTAGCAGAAGAAATAATGTGCCAATGTAGTTACTACTTTCTCTCCCTTCTCACAATGATCTCTTTGTATTAAGCAACAGGCTTTTACATAGATCAGGTATCAACCCCAGAGTGTCACAGGCTCTCTCTCATTTCTGAAATGATTGAATCCTGAATTGCTCTCTCTCTTTAATTTCTGAAATTATGCCTCTGTGTTTGAGCCCATTTAACCATTTAGTTTAGGAGAACTTGGTCAAGTTAGAAGCCTTGATCTTATGCCATCAAGGTAGGAAGAGCTCTGCCAGGACTTCAAGGAGACCAGTATCTGCCTCAGCAACAGCATGTCGTTTTCCTTCTTAAACATGCACATTCTTTGGAAAATTCTGTAAAATAATAAATTTCATGAATTTTCAGCCTTCAAGGGAAGGCTTTATTGCAAACCCCAGGAAAGCTGCCAACCAATAACATCCAGCTAGAATGAAGTAGACTGACTGATACCAACAGGTCCTTAAAATCTTATCTCAGTCTTTTTCCCTCTTTGACTGCAAGTCCTCAGGGTCTGGGACCACCTCTCCTTCTTGGTTTGGAGAGCGCATGACCAGTCCCCTGCACAGGAGATGCCAGTGCTGGAAGAAGCTGTGGTCCAGCAGGATAATCCCCTTCTCTCATCAGCACGCATTGACTGATCCCACAGTGTTCTACCCCCTAGTGCCCATGTCCCCACAGGACTAGGAGAAAATAGTCCAAGTCCAGCTCCTCTGTTGAGACTACTGCAGCTTGTGTAAGCTGTACCCAAATTTTTAGCTGAGTTCAGTCTCTGACATGCACACACATAAACTGCCTCTGTGCAAATACTTAGACTTGTAGATCCAGAAGGTGAATGTTAATTGGTTGGCAGGAAGACTTACAGCCTTGTTAATACAATATCTGCTTTCAGTGTTAATGACTAATTAAAAAAAGGCACACTGAATTTTTTGTTTTTTAGTGATTTCCTTATTTTTAGCTGTGTGTTGTCCTCACCCTCCATCTCCCCCATTCTTACTGTGGTAAAACATAGTGTTCTCGTATCCTCCATCTTGGGCTAGGGCAGCTTCCCATGCTTGGAAATTCAATTGAGATGATGGAGTTTTAATTCATGGACAAAACCAGCTGCATTGCTGGTGTTAGGTTGTGATATTGGGACACCTGTGGTTGTGCTGTTAATTGCCAAGAACAAATATTAATAGCCACTTCATTGTCTTTGTTCTCTTAGGAGTCTCTGGTGGGTTTTTGTTTGCTTTTTTTAATAAAATCTTACCACTTTTGCTTTGTTTGCCTTACCAAATTCTCTGTTAAATGCTCAATATTATATCATGTTATAACACTGATAGCGCTGTATTCTAATTTCCCCAAAGTTACTAGGAAATAACTAATTTTTCTTTTAAGTAAATACTTTTCTGTCTGACTTCACCTAACCTCTTACCCTACTGTGTTGCCTAGAAATGAGCCCAGTGATAGACTATCCAGAGTATTTTTTTCGTGGTGGCAAAGAGACATCAAACATTTTGCAACCCATTTCCCATGACATTTCCATCTGAGAATCATGTACTCTATGTTGATGCTCTAAGATGTTTTTCCCTTGCTTGAATTCAGAACTATGCAAAAATACCTAGGGAATGGTAGAAAGAAGCATAGAAAGCCAGTTTTAATCTGTCACTGATTCCCATGGGTGCTGCAAGGTGAGGAACAATTATGGTGTAAAATACTAGGGACGAGAGAATCATCATCTTCTAGAGCTGATCCCAAAACCATTTCCTTCTAAAAGCCTTTAGTAAGGGTTGCTCTGAGTTAAAATGAACAATATAGTTATTTGTAAGGTGCTGGCTTTGTAAGGTTATGGGAAATTAAAGCTTATGCAAAATCACTCTGCTCAATACAGATGTTTCTCATCCCAAAAGCAAGTTCTCAGATGACAGTATTTGCACAGCAAGAACCAGAAGAGATACCTCTAAACATTTAGCAGCTTGTTGAAGCTTATCTCTAATTTTGATGGGGTGTTTTCCTAATGAGTTCCTCTCACATCAATTAGCTGCCGAATCTGATGTTAAAAAAATAAATCCAAACTTTCTCTTGGCAAACAGTTCCATGAGGGCTTTGGGGAGATTTCCACGATATTGAGGTCTACCAGCATTCAGAGGAGCTGGCTTAGTCATTCTTCCCATCTGCTCTACTTCTTCCTCCCTCCACTGCTCTACACATGTTTCCTGGCTGGCTGCTCTTCTTCCCTATCTCCAAGCATCCTGCCTGGCTGCCCCTCCACCCCCTCCTGCCGTACCTATCCCTTGTGGCATCTTCCATGAGGAAGCTCAGGTAGTGCTGAGATCAAAGAGCTGAAATAAATTAACTGCTTTAAAGCATCCAGGAGGAAATAAAAAGCAAAAGGAAGAATCCACCAAAAGGAAGCACCCATAGCAAGCAGCATAGCAAAAATAATTTGAAAAAACTTTGAGTTGAATCATCCCCAAATCATGAGTTTGCTTTAAAAAGTATGATAGTTAAACACAGGAACATTTTAGTTCTTTTTACTTCTTTGTTGACCATTTATGAATCTAGGTTTTAGCTCTTTTTTGCCAAGAAGGCCAGCAGGAACTTGGGTAGCAACAACAAACTGGAAGTTGAGGTTTGTATATAGCTATGGCACTCCAGGATCCAGGGATGTCAGGACAGTGGCTGATTGTGCAACACCAGGAGTTGAGGAGGCTGAGTTAGAGTCATCTGCCAGCACTGACCCTTTACAAGCCTGTGTTTTGTAGTGTTGGGAGTCCACAGATGAGTGTCTGAGAAATTCCCGAGGGTGATACTTACTCCAGTAGTTTCTTTGGAGCAGGAACAGTAAAAACTGCAGCTTGCCACAAAGTTAGCGGTGAGAGGCAGCACGGTCTGGAAATAGCAGCCTCCTACCCCTTTTCTCTCTCCCAAACTACGTGCTGTGTCTCATGCTGAAATGCCTCAGCTCCTCCACTTCGAGAGCCGTTTCATCTCGCTGCTTCCTGAGAGAGATCGACATCTTCTGTGGAGCACACGCTGCCGAGGAGAGGAAGGCAGCTTTGGCCTGCGGAGAGCAGAACTCAAGTACTGCGTGGGTGGCCGAAGACAAGAGCTTCTGAAATGAGGGAACAGAACAGATCTCTAATCTCCAGACTCTGACACATATCACACTTTTCTCAGTTGCTTAGGAAAGAGATTTGCATCCAAAAAGAAGTGGGAGGTTTAAATAGGAGTTCATACATTTATCTTCTTCGGTCCATGCGGTGATTTACATTTTGCTAGTCCCGTGGAATCCACAACACTTTCATAAAGTGCAGTCATTACAAATGTGCAACCAGGGAAAACAAAGACTCTGTCCAAGTTCCTACCTGCAGTATCCAAAAGCTGAGCTGAGTTGCAGTCAGGGAAACAAGGCTGTGGGGTGTCACTGATGTGTGTGTTCTGGGTTGTACCGAGATGCTGAAGTCACTGTGTCACCCCCGGTAGAGTATTGGGCATGGTCCTGCCTGTGGATGGCCCAGGCCACCAGTGTGGTTCTCATCTATAGTTCCATCCTCCTGGGAGTAGCAAAAGACTGAGATATGGAGGAATTGGATCTACAGAAGCACCTGGCCATGGAAAATGCCAGCTGACATTCCTTGCAGGGACATGCACCTTCTTGTACCATGTGAGCAGCCCCTTCATGGCTTCATCCACCACCACAACTGTAGCTCTGTCATAGAGCACCCACTCCTCCACCTTGGCTGAACTCACAGCCTGTTCTGCTGCAGCACACTGGCCTGAATAAGGCACTCTTTCTTCTTCTGGGTGGAAAAACCTCCTTTGACCTGTTTGCGTATTGGGACTTGCTGAGCAGGGTTTTCTGTGACCCATCAAAGTTTTCCACTCTGCAAAACAAAAGCAGCAGAACATTGCTTCTTCCACCTCAAGCCATTCTTATGCACCGCCTGCCCCAATTTTCCCTGTAATCAATAGCAGGGGTTTCTTTTTGTAGCACACACAAAGGCTCGAGTCCTTGAATGAAGAAAAGTTTGCATTTATCCAGGAGGTGGGGTTGGACCAAGGCTGAGCTTTGTTTGTGGTGGTGTCTGAATTGGTGGGAGCCGCGTGGGTGCTGCAACTGCACCCGCAGCTCCATCCTGGCAGCACAAGGCTGAGCTGCAGAGCCACCTTGGGGGTGTCTATCCAGCACAAGTTAAGTACAGGGCTGGAAAAGCCCTTGGGATTGACCCATTGAAATAAGGAGGGGAGGGCTCCTGTTTCTGCCATGCCAGAAAAATGATAGATTTGCAAGTGTAGCTGTGGTTCAAGGCCAGTTTCTGCCTCCTGTCTACACTTGTTAGAAGGTGCACCTTCAATGTGGTATTGTTAGGCTGTTAGCATAATATTTCCATGAGTACTCAGTGGGAAATGATTGCTTTGGGAAGCCTGGGAAGGGAAGAGGGTATCCTGCAGTCCCTGCTAATCTAGCAACAGTCCTGGCATCCTGAGGTCAGGTCTCACTTTGCCACCCATTTCTCTCCAGCAGTGGCACAGCTCAAGGGAGAAGGGGAGATGTTTCCAGAGTAGGAGGAATCTTTAAATAGAAGTGCCCTGATTTTGGAAGTGCTGCTGCCTGTGGGAGAAATGTTTGGGGCTCGGAGCCTCTGAAACATGCTCCTTTATCAAGTGGGCTGCTAGGATTGCAGCCTGTGGCCCAGTTCCTGTTTCTGTTTTGCCCAATAAAGCACACTTTAAAAACATCTACTTTGCAATTCACAGTGGATTTATCCCAAGGAGAGGACTCTGCTGCTGGAGTGCCTGGTGGAATCCTCTGCCTCCATGGAGAGCAGACTCAGAAGAGACAGCCAGGCTGGGCTTCCCATACGCTGCAGCTGACCAGAGCTGCTGCCCAATATCCCACATCTGCTCTGGCGCCTGTTGCTCTCCTGTGGGTGGTGAGACCACCTCACTGGGACAGGCTGTGTCCTCAGGTTGTAGAAGCTCCAAAAATGCAGTTTGTTCCAGATGCTTTCCAATGTGGGAGAGGAGCCCAGAGAGCGCCTTGCAGTGCCTGGGCCTGTGACCCATGCCACCAGCACAGGTGGAGATTCATCCCCTTGTGTGAGCTGAGGCCCTTGGTCTGGGCAAAGGGGCCACCACTGAAGCATTCCTTGGTCTCACTAGTGAAAAAACTTGGGAAATTTCAGGATTTCCTTGCTTGATGCTATGGCTCCTAAAGAGGCAAGACATGACCAGCTCACTGAAGCAACACCTAAATTAATTGCTCTTTGCTGGGAGGTATAGCCAGGCTCTGCAAGCCCCAGTGAGGTGTGGCCAAGGCAGCACCACTGGTCTGGGAGACTTGAGGCTCGATTTGGTTCCTGTTAATGACAGTACAGCTGTGTTGGTGCTCCTGTAGCCAGAGAAGAAGCTGGTTATCAGGCTGAGGCAAAGGAGGGCAAGTTACTCTGGCAGCAGAAGATGGGTGGGTTGGAAGAGGGTGCACTGAGCAAATGGGCTTCAGGCTGGAAAGCAGCAAAGGTGGATAAAAGTAAGGGACAAGAGGAGATAACCAGAGAAAGGCTTTGCTTGGGTAATTCCCAGATGTTTCCACTGCAGTAAAAGCTCTTTGCATGGTCTCAGTAGCTGTGCCTTGTTTCTAAAAGATTAGGCAGTATCACAGAAGGAAGGGGTTTAGTTCATGTTTCCTCTGTTGTCAGCCACAGAAGGTAATCACATCTATTAGGCATGTAAAGTGAGTATTTTCTCTTTGGTAGTTCTGTACACTGGAAACACTGAACTCTACAACAGTCTTGAGTGGGAAGAAGATTTTCTGTTTTGAAATATGGCTGTGATACTGGGAGGAGGGAGATTTTCCATGCCGTGGTCCTGAAGTGATTTTTTTTTATTACAGGTTTCAAGTAGCTGAGCAGCAGGAGCTGACATCCTCTGTCCAACACTGCATGCACCATAGGACAGAGTTGCCCAAAACACCAGGGAGGGGGTTTGGCTTGGGTCAGTTAAATGCAGAAGTCCTCTGCTGAGACTGGAGAGCAATGGGTGTGGGTTTAATGAACTCAGTACTGCATGGGTCCTTGTATACACTAACCAGTCATCTGAAGATAACTCTGCATAGAAAGTGGTCTGGCTTGGATTCCAACCAGTGACCATGTGGTGCCTGATTCCTTATCTCTTACACCCTTTTGCCACATTACATTGGCAGTCTAATAATTACTCTGTGTAATAATTGTTCTTATTACATCCAGTCTTTTCTGAAGGAGACATTGAAGGCAGACAAATTCAACCTGAATTTTCATTGGTTTAATAGCGGCTTTGTAAGGGGTAGTGGGATAAAAATCTCCCTCCCAGAGCATTGGATAGCATGGTATCAGATGCTCCCTTGTTCTTATAAGAGACAAGCATTGAGTGTAGTCATGACTTTTAAGGGACAAAACATTAGGTTCCCTGATGTTGGTTTGGTCATTGGTTAGGAGGAGAATTGCCAGACAAGAATTAAACCTTCTGAATTGAATCCTGGGGATAGAGAAGTGATTTCCTGCTTCCCTAATTTTCAATAAGCATGGCCTGTGGCACGAGAAGAAACTCCAGAATGCAATGCACAATCTTCCCTCTGTCACCGTTTTTGAATAAAATCAGTGTGCAGTTAATCCAGTGTAATAAATCTTGGTAGGAAGGCTTCCAGAGCAGGTAGATTTGTTTAATCATTTGGGCTGGAATCCAAACCACTGGAGGATATAAAATATATATACTAGTGCCATTCACTTCATTGAAAACATCATTTTCCCATCCAAGGAAATAGCTGTGGCTGGCATGAATATATATTTGGAAAGCTGTAGAGCTAAACAAATTTCTCAGAAAATCATCTCTGGCCTAGATACTGACTATATTTACGCACTGTAACTCCTGAGGCTCATCAGCTAAGGCTTTCTGACAGAAAAGTCATCAGAAATCAGTGATTCACACTTTGAAATGGTGGGATCCTCACCCCTGCTCAGCAGGCTCCCTGTCTTGATACCAGTCAACATATTACCTTCAAATTGGAGTAGATCTTTCAAAAAATCACTTCCCCTGTGACTTCCAAAAGAATTGTGCAGTAATGCAATGTTAAAGGATCCTTCTTTGAGTATATGTTGTCTTCTTTGTGTATTGATCAATAGAACTGTCTCTCACTAAACAAACTGATCCTGCCAAATAAGGGAATACATTTTTTATTTTCCAATTTTCCAACTATCAATACAATTTCTATATGGGAGGATTTCAGAGTGTCCCAGTTTCAGCAGTTTGTGTGTAACTCACGCTAAGGAATAAGGTTTAGCATCACAAAGAGTCACATTGTGAGGTGTTTCAGTTAGCTTTAGCTGGCTTTGGTACATTAATTGCCTCAGTAATTCATAAGGTGCTCTGTGAAGATGAAATCCCACCTCGCACAGAAAAAGATGCGGGAGTTCACAGCGGGAGTTTCTGCAGCAAACTTTCAGCAGAACTCTTTCACACCAGTGCCTGCCAGCGTTGTCCCTTTGGTCACAAGCTCTGACTCTGCTGTACGGTCTCTTGCAGGCACTTCTAGGATTTGGCTGAGTTTGCAGGACACTCATCAGCGGCGCAGACGCCGGCAGCGAGGAGGTTCGGGAAGTGCCACGCGTTGATGTGATTGAAGGTAAGGTGCTCTCTTCTCTCATTGCCCTGTGCTTGCTGCTTATCCTCCACAGAGCCTCATGCTCTGGCTGGCATCCCCTTTGCTGCCTGTCCTGGCTGGGGAGGTGAGAGCAGGATCAAGCCTCAGTTCGCTGCATGTCTGAGAATCCCCCAGACTGATCCGTGTTTCAGGTAACAGCTCTTCCTAACCATGGCTCAGCTTGTCCTGTACAACGTGGCTGTGCCCCTGTCCTTTAGGAAATACTTCATTACATCACATCTGTTGCCTATTTTCCATAAGTGCTGCACATTTTTGAGTCCTGGAGCTGGTCTGCATTCAGATACTGTTTTTTTCCCCATGAATTTCAGTTTTGCCCTCTGTTCAAAACCTAAAATAAAAGTGTGTGCATTGTTTCTGAGGCCTTTCCCATGGGAGGTGGTTTAGCACTTGTCAGGCTATATATTGCTCTGTATGTTACTGACCTTGCTAGTGCCATCACAAGCAGCAGAAAGTGATCTGTGCTTTTGCTCCATGCCTCTGGAAAAAAGATCAGTATAGTGTGGTCCTGGGACTGTAGCACTTTAGCACTGCATTTAAGATAGTCTCTAAATGTAGTTTTCTCACAGAAATGCAAGAACAGATTTCACTTCCCCCTGCTTCCCCACTGGTATATTTGTGTTTAATTAAAACTAGGGGAAGTAATGTATCTCTTAATTCACTGACACAAGAATTTTAAGGTTCAGAGTAGATGACTCATCCACCAGAACAGAATTTATCCTTTGTTTGTAAATGCTATTTATTGCCTTGTTTTGCATCACTATGGCTACTGTATGTCATTGGTGATGCCAGCACCTACCTTACATAAAATGAATGCAAGACTGAATTAAAGAGATGTAGTTCTTATAATTGTTTGTATCAGCCACTTTTCTGTTGTATGTCAGTCAGTACATGTCACGTAAAAGCAGCGCTAAAAGTGGCTTAATATTTTCATCATCACTTGCTAAAAAGTAAAAAATTGTCCTGTGCATAAATCTTATCACAGTTTGAAAAGCCCTAAGCAGCACCACCAAACCTGTTGTTCAGATTATATGGTTTTATAAACAACTTGGCAATGTCCTACAGGTGATTTTGAAGTTTCAGTGAGCTAATATGCAGTGGCATTCTCAATTATTTTACATCTAGTTATGTTTCCTGTTAAAGACCTAGTTAAGCTTGTCAGAAACATCACTGCTTTCACAGCCCATATAGATTCTTCTGCTTTCCTTCACTGTTTCAAAGTGAAGACTGGGAATAATTAATCTATGCCAGTTAAAGCCTAATTATTTTGCCAATTGCATGGTCCCATGTTCTATTCTGAAACACATCAAGTACAATCACTTCTGCTGTCCTATTCAATCAAAGCCTTAAGTTGCACAGATTTTCTGAAATGGCCTGGGCTTCAACAGCTTGGGAGCTGATTCACTGAGGCATCTGTTGTAACACTGGCAGGACTGTCACCATTTTTCTAGCCCAAATCATTTGTCTTTGTCATTTACAAATAATCTGCAGGATATAATGTGGTCTTAGGGAAGCACAAAGCCCATTATTGCTCAATAAGAGAATTTCGTGAGGTCTTAACATCTTTGAGCTCATATGACACATTTGACAGTTCATGTGTTCATTCTAATTTCCCATGGAATGAGGACAGAGAAATATTTAAACGTTTGCAATGTATTGAATGGCTGCTAAAATAAACCAGCCAGCTATGAGTGACTGCAGGAGTCTGCTGCTGGCTAGCAGGGACCAACCCCCAGGACACACAGCAGTGGGGCATGGCTTTTCTGTGGTTGCCAAGACTAAGACTTCATAAATACTGACCCACACAAAGCCTCCAAGATTATTTCCATCTAGACACACACTTTCTCATTTCCTTTTCCCTGCAATCCAGGACAGCTGGGCTTAGGGTGCCCAACGCCAGAAAGAATGCCAAGAGAAGGATGTTCATCCTGGGCATGCCCAGAGTGGTGGGCCCAGAGCTCCTCCAGGCTCACAGCTGGGTCTGGCTAACACAGGGTGTGAAAGCCCTGCAAAACAGCTCTTCCCAAAGAGCTGGGCTGGGAGAGCATGGTCTGCTATTGCCTAGTGTGGTCATTCCCAGAGGGGCAGCAGGAGGGCTGAAAAGGCCCCCTCTGGGAACAAGGAAGAGACTAGATCCAGAGTGGGGAAAAAGGCAGGAATGGAATGTTGTCCATAGGTGCCCAGTGGTATGGCCTACTGGATGCTGCAGGAATAAAAACATATGTCCAGAAAACCTATGCATTTTACTGACTGGGTGGTTTGTGCTGTGCCTGGGGAGTGGTACAGGTCCAGGCAAGGGCTGGGAGCTCAAAACCATCTTCCTAACAGGCAGAATTTGTCCCTCTTCTACTGTGCCATTGCTCTGGGAGGATTCAGGCTGTGTAAGCTTCAGGGTGCTCAGATCAAGGGTCTGGTTCAGCTTTTTGCTGGGTTTCAGAGCCTGGTTCTGCTTTCCTGCGCTGTACATGTACCAGGAAGTGTGTGAATTAATTCAGTGTTGGTTGGGTCCCAGGCAGACCTTTCAGGGCTTTTCCCTATGCTGATGAATGTCTACAGCCTTGGGTCCTGGTCCACAGCTGAGCTCAAGTGTCCCATGGTTCTGCCTTGCTTTTTCTTAAATGTGATGCAGTGGGAGTGAAAGTCTCTGCATTATCATGCTGCTCTGTGCTACAGCTAATTAAATTCATTGTGAAGGGTTTCGTAGTAATTGTAGATATTGTAAAATTTAGTTCTGTCCAGTAATTGGTAATGTAAGCCTGAAGCAAGTTATCCTTAAGATGTTTTAGTTGGCATTTCTCAGCCATTACAAAGAAGGCTTTTGTGTGTGCAGCAGGACCAGAATTAATGGCAGCATTTAGTCGTGCCTAAAGGAGTGTTTGCTGTGGCAGGTGGCAGGGCAGCCTGATGGATGATGCCTACATTGTGCATGCTGCAGGAGGCTCCAGCAGCCTCTAACTGCACTACCTGATGAATGCCAGCTAAAGAGAGCGAAAGCCCCATGCCAAAATCTCTCCAGGGCTGATGAATTAACATTTGAAATGAACGTGGCCCCTTCAGCTTGGAGTAGCTCTTTTTGCTCCTACAAGCCTAATATGCATCCTGGAGATTTGAGGCATGCTCCGATTTTTCCGTGGAATGCTGTATTTATAAATGGCAGATGTGAGGAAAATCCCAGTGCCACGGAGACGTGCAGCTGCCCGGCCACGGGCTGGGCTGCTCTCTGCAGCGAGGCTCTGTCTCTGCTCTGGAATGCTGCCATGCCCCGCAGAGCCGGGCCAGCTGCGGGGCCTGGGCTGCCAGGCGGAACAGGGTGATGCTCCCTGGGCACATAAGCACCTTAGGTTCCTAAGCCCCTGATTGGAATGAGATTTAGGTGCCAAACAGTCCTTGATGCATTTGGAAGTCCCACTCAGCACCTCTCCAAACACTCAGGCAAGTAAAGATGCTGAAAATCTGGTTCTTAGACATCAATACAGCTGGTGTGTCTGGAATTAACAGCTTAAAAAGAAGTGCTGGCTCATGACTAAATGGAAGAGACATCTGGAAGAGCAAATATTGAAGACATTACAAAGAATCAGAATAAGAATTTAATTCAAGGCTGATATTTCTACCAGTAACTTTTTTGGTAGACAGATGCAATTTCTGAGCTCATATATCAGTAATAAACTAATTGCTGATAACATTGGAGGACTCCAGTTTCCAGCTGATGCCTCTGTGACTCTGTGGGGGTCCTCTCTGCTGTTCCAGGGGCAGCTGGGGTTGATGCCCTGTTCAGCATCACAACATGCAGCAGTAACAGTTAGCTTGGAGGCCAAGGAAATATTTTTTTTGACTATTCAGGCAGGACAGTGTAACATAATTATTCTAACCAATATGAGAAGCCAATACTTTTTGTTAAATTAGCTGTGGAGCCAAAGCTCAGAGCTGAGGTGTCCCATTCTCTTTTAATATTCACAGCATGACAGAGGTGATGAACACCCGGGAGCCAGTGATGGAGGAATTCGCTCTCAGCCAGACTCCTGAGGAGGAGGGAGGCCCCTCAAGCCAGGTAACCTCAGCAGAACTGAGAAGTGTCCTGAGTTGTTTGTCAAAAGTGATTTAATGCAGCCAAGAACTGTCTGTAGGGTAGGTGTTGAATTGCAGAGCACTGCTGCCAGAAGAACAAGCCCTGAAATACGTTTGATCCTGCTCAGGTTCTATTATTAAAAGTTAAGAGTTTGGCTGAAGTGTTTAGTGGGGTGCCAGGTCTGCAGGGCACAGTGACAGCACTGCCCATTTCCTGCAGGGATGCAGGCACAGAGGCTGTTTGTCACCAAGAGTTCAGATCTGAGCAGCTACTGTGCAATGGAGGCATCCAGCCAGTACTGTGCCAAGCTTTTATACAGCCACCCTTGAAACGAACTGAGTTTCCTCAGGCTCAGAGGGAGCTCCCTTTTTAGATCAGAGACCATTTGTAATGATTGGCTAATCCACAGAAATGGCTGTGGCACCATAGCAGCACCACTGGTCAGGGCCATTTGTTGGCAGGTGCAGGAGCATTTTCTGTCCCCAGGCAGTTCCACACACCCCCTCAAACACCCACCCGTGCTGCTCATTGCAGCAGGAGGGATCACGATGTCCCAGGCCCCCCTTGTGGCAGCCCCCACATCACATTTGTGCTCTGTGGCTGTGCTCGTGACTCTGTGTCACTACCAGGGACAAACCACATCTTGTGTCCAGGTGGACCTGAGCTGCCTCTCAACACAAGGTGTAACATTGGAAGCAGACTCAGAGCTACTCTAGGAGCAGCTTGTCCAGGTGCAAATCTAGCATTTGGAAGCCAGGGAAGTCAGAACAGAAATTTGCAAATCACTTGTTTGTGTAGTGAAAGGTTTTGTGCATTTAAAGAGCACACGGGCTTTCCCATGCCTCAGAGGCTGCACAGGATGGATGCTGGTCACTCAAGGAGCATGTTTTCAATATTTTTCCTCTTCTTCAGCAAGTTCCAGGTTTTCAGTGTTGTATTAGTGTATGCTGGCCAAACTCTGTCCCTGATTTCACCTGTGTATGCAGGGCTGCTCTGTGGTGTCTCTGATCATATGCCCCAGCGTTTTCCCCCAGCTCCTTTACCTTTTCCCTCTAGGAGAAGGTGTTACCATCCACATTTCAGTGATAGCCACCCGAGGCAAAAAAAAAAAAAAAAAAAAAGAAATGAGATGTAGCACAAAGTCAGTGACTCAGTGGGAAAACTAAGTTCCTTCCAGCAACTTCCAAGCACTCCAAGGTCCAGGAGACCGGTCCTTCTTTTCCTGCAGTCTCCTGCCCACTCATCACACACTCCAGCTTCTGCAGAAAAACACAGCAAGGCCCAACAGGCAGCTCTGCTTCCTGCCAGTCCTGACTCATTCCTGGAGGGACATGGTAAATACTGGGCTCTGGTGGAAAAAAAAATTATGTGGTTGATGTGAGAAAAGACCATATGAGAATGACACAAACAAAAATAGCCACAGCTGAGGCCACACAGGTGCCTTTCCTAAATTTTATTGCAGCTGTAATAATCACTTCTCGGTCCATTTTTAGATCTCTCCATGTCATTTCCTCAGGATTCAGAAAGCAGATGGAAAAGCAGAATTTTTGTTGTATTGCATCGCCCATGCAGGAGTTGCCAGCAGCCTTGGGGATGGGTGGCTGTCATGCAGCCCTCTGCCACCCCAGCATGCTGCACAATATCTGGAGAAGAGGTCACTGTCACCTCCTGTGCAGCCATGGGAGAAAATACAGCAATTTGCCCACAGTTTTATGGCTATTTTCTGACAGCTGAGCTGTGAGGCTGAGGGAGCTGGGCTCCACAGTGGGGCTGCAGAGGAGGGAGCTGCTGCTCAGTGGGTGTGTGGACCTGTCCTGCCCAAGGAGACCTTGTCTCATATTTGGTTTCCAGTCAAAACAGCTGCCATGGAAATGTCTTTCCAAATTATGTACAGCTCAGGAGAAGTCTGTGGAATGGGAATCTGGGCAGCTCTTTTCTGATAGGCAGCATAAGCAGCATTGCTTGGTTAGGATGAGTTATAAACTGTGGGTGCAGCTCAGGGTGGCGTCAGAAGTGTTTGCCTTCAGTGATTCACTTGGTCTAATTGTACTGAAGGCACTTTCTCACAAAAGAATTTTTTTTCCTAATTGTGTCTCATAACACTAATACGCAACATTTCTCGCCTTTGTATAGATTTGCAAGAAATATTGAATCCCTGTGACACTACCATGGGGGGCAAGGGTGTGAGGATGAGGCTTACTGTCCTTCCCTATTTGCAGGAATCAGATATGGGCAGTACAGCAATGTTAAAAATGTGCTTGCTGCTCCCTAGATGCACAGCCTTTCCCAAGGTCTTGCTTCTCCATGCCAGCTCTGATGCCAAGTGGGACGACTAAACCCTCTGCTCTTAGGGAGTACAGCTGCTGAGGTAGAGGAAGGTTGAAAAAGCCATGGAGCAAACAACTTCCAATGGGTTATGACACCCCCAGACCCCTATCAATGTTCTGTATTTCTGCCTGTGCTCACAGCAGGAGCTGTGCTGAGACTGGCTCACACAACCAGCCAGGCTCAATCAAGCAGAGACCCTGGTTCAGTGGTGAACAGGTTGCAGATGTGTGGGGAGGTTCCCACCAGCCCACAGCAAACCTGTGGCAGCCTCTGAAGTTAAACTGGGATCATTCTTGCTCTCAAGTCCTGGTTCAGCCCCTTCACATGTACCTTGATTTTATTGTTAGAAATGAAATGCAATGAAATGAAGTAAAAATAAACCTCGGCTAGCACGGAGAGATTTGTAGCTTGTTAGTGCAGATATATGGAAGATCCAGGGGAAAAGGTTTCAGTGGAGCAACAACAGAGTTTCTTATGGTAATGTCCTGGAGCTGCGGGAGTAATTTTTCCTCCAAAAACACCCTGAAACAATCCACCAGAAAAAAACCAATTCAAAACAAAGTACCCTGAGAGATTTAAGTGATCCAGCTATGTTGAAAACAGGAAAGCACTTTTACGTGTTACAATATCCTTCACTAAAAAGCCCTAGTTCAGCTTCAAGTTCCAACCACTGTGCAGTGTTTTATCTACAGCTTCAATGTGACAAATCAAAATAAATAGCTGGCACAGTCCTCTGTGCAAAGATGTTCTCTGGGACTACCTGTTTTGCATGAATGCATCATAAAATAGTGTTTCACATTGCACAAAATAGCTCTGCACAATGGTGGCTTCTTAATAAGCTATCACTGCAAGAAAACGTGAATATCAGATCAGAGCGACAGGACAGCAGCCAGAAGGGCTGCAGCAGCCATTTAGCTTAGCCTTACAGCAATGACTTTGGTGTCCCAAAACCCCACCAGCACTGAAGCACGGGTGTTTGGCAGCACAACAAATGTTGTCTCCCAAGTCTCCATTTTCACTGCTCATGTCGGATCACACGAGTTAAGGCAATCATCTCCTCAACTCCCCAGCAAGCAGAGTGGGTTCTTTGCTCAGGAAGGGGCAGCACATGCAGTGGAGAGTGTGCTGAGACCTACAGCCTCTCTGCACCACACTTGGCCAGCAAGGAGCTGGGTTCAGCTGGCTTTGAAATCCTCCCTGTGCAGGGCTGTGGATCTGCACCAGATGGGAGAGGATTTTTTAATGGACATGTGAGTGCGTGTCAAATGTAGAAAGGACATACTCTGCTTACTCTGAATATACATCCGTGCACAAAGCTTTGATGTAATTCCCCAAATGTCTCCCCAGGCCTTCCCAGACTCACGTGAGAAGTACCCCAAGCTGTCCAAAAGACTGCCTTCGATTGTGGTGGAGCCCACCGAGTCCGGGGAGGTGGAGAGCGGGGAGCTGCGCTGGCCTCCTGAGGACCTCAAGTCAGCGGAGGACAAAGGTCTTCACGGTGACCAAAGAGTCTGTGTCCAGCAACAGCAGCAGCAGATGGATCTGGAAGGTCTGAATAAGTAATTTTCATCCTTGTTCCCCATAGGAAAATAGCTGTTTCAGACAGTGCTGTCACTGAAGTTAACAACGAGACAAACACTTGAAGGTGCCCAGAAAATATCTGTGCTGGAGGAAAATTGTGCTGAAAAGTTTGTTGTAGCTTTTGAGCAGTGGTGTTTTCATCTGCATCCGCCACTCACATGGCCAACAGGCAGCCAGTGCACTGCACAATAGCAGGTCACTCTGGGGAGCAGTAATCTTGGTCAGTAGCATGTATCTGTTCCTGTCTCCTAGCCTAGAAGTGAAGTGTTTGACAGCTGCATGTTTTCAAAGCATCCTGCTGTCCCAGTGAGTGCTCTCCCAGTGCAGGAGGAAGTCTCAATATGTATCCCTGACTAGTAGTGTCACTGTGGGGTAAATACAGGAAAAGTAAGACCTTGTCTAAGTGTAGCTTGCACAGGAAGTGCTCCAGTGAGAAACTGGCCTATTTATTTCATTTTTTTTTTTTCTCATCTCAGTGCTGTCCTTTTCTCTTATAGAGTGACCTGGTTTCCCTTTCAGTGTACCAGCTTTTGCCACCCAAACGCCCAGACACAGCAGCCAGGACAGGGTGCAAGATGAACCTTCCTTTCCCTTCAAAGGGGTGATGACAAAAGGTCTTGACGTGTAAAATCACCTGCTATTCCAGTTGGCATTTCTGGGTGGTGACAACTACAGGGTTTGATCATTCAAGAGTAAATACAAGCCAAATCTATTTCCTGACTTCCAGGTTATATATTGTAGTTTCTCTGTTGGTTTTGTACCTTGATTAAGACTCATTATGTCTTCAGGCCTGACAGTTTAAGCAGACTTCTGAGACTGGGTAGCCTTCCCATGACAGTGGCTGTCCATAGGGGTCATCTCATCTCACTGATATCTTACCTGAGGTCTCAGGTTCCCTGTGAAGTCAGACTGTGATGCACTCAGAATTCCTTACTCCAGGTTTAACTACTGGTTTGCAAGCAGAGAAGATTTCTTTATCAGGTCTGATCACCCTAACAGAATAAATGCCAGGTAGAGCAGGTAATCAGACAAAGGCTGCACCTATATGGGGAAGTAAGTGCTGATGAGCTGTTTCTTTGCAGATACTTTAGCACACCCAGCTCAAGAAGTGGAAGACAGTACAGATACTCTGGAAAGCAGAACTGAAGAGAATGAGTAGGAACTCCATGGCCTCAGAAGTGAAACTTCATTGTGAATGTTGTTGAAAAGCTAACACACTCTGAAGACATGTCAAAGTAATCTGTATTTAAATCTGCAAGGGTTTTATTTAGTTAGTACTTGGTAAGAAGCATCTGGGCTTTAGAACTGGTCTTCTAACATTTTGATTTTCAGGCTGGGATTCATAATATTTGTTTAATATCCCCTTGGGAAACAATGGGATGTGTTGGGAAATATAAGGCTGTCAAGGAAAAGATGCTCCTAATTTTAATTAGTGCATTTCTTTGGTTTTATCTTTTTCAAGAAAGGCTGCTTTCAGGCGTCAACATCAGGACAAAGGGGTTGCGTTTCTACAGGAGGAATGTCTTAAATCTAAAAAACTTTCTTATTTTTAGCCATTTAAAACTAGCACTGTGATATTACGGACAATAGATGTAATATAATGTCACCAGTTGATTTTGTAACTTTTGTATAGAGACGCAAGGGCAAGGTTTGCCTCCAGGCTGCCGCCCTGGGGCAGCCCAGAGCAGCTCTCTCCCTTTGGCTAACCTGTGCGTATTCAGATGAACCAGCCTTTCCTTAGCTGCCTTTTCAGAAAGGCTGATGCCTTTTGGGAGCGCTTTCTCGCTGTACCTTACCGGGGCGATGAGCTGGCCGCCGGCATTTGTGGCGTGGGGTGGCTGGTGGGGTGGATCCTGCTGTTTGTGCGCTCTTCAGGCCAGGCCCAGCCGTGCCGTGGTGTGCACTTCTCGCCCTTAAAGCTGGTGAGATGCTTCTGCTTCCCCCAGAGCTGGCTCTGTCCCACCTCGTGAACAGATCGTTGTGACATTCCTGCTTTGGTATGTTGGTGTATAACGCAGGTGCAGAGCCGCAGCTGCTCCTCCCTTGCCCTGAGCTGGGTGGTGGCAGGAGCTCCATAGCCCATCCCAAACCTGTGCTGCGTTTGCCTGGCTCCAGGTTTCCCCTGAGCCACCTCCAGCAGGAATGGGCACGGTGGAAGGATAAATACCTGCCTCTCTCCTGGCCAAGCTGGCACTGCTGGCAGGAACACGTGTGCCAAGGGATGCCCTCCTCACCTGTGGCACGGCCCCCTCAGCCTTGGTGGCACCATCACCTCCTGGAGCCCAGAGCTCATGGTGGGACAAGCTGTCTCTGGACACCTCTGCCCTCCAGTGGATTTTCCTTGGGAATTTGGGGGTCATTTTGACTGGAGTGAGTCCCTTCCTGCACAGGGACCTCCCAGAGACTCCGTCCCACTGTCCCAGGAGAAGCACCAATCTCAGCTGGGAACACAACCCGCTGGATGGGCTGGTGGGGGTAGATACTGCCTGTACTCAGAGGGCTTTGACTGTCAGTGATGAGTGTCCTGGAAGCTGCAAAGATGGCTTTTTCCATCTCTGCAGGGCTGGATGGGGTCTGTACTTCCAATTAATGTTGCATCCAGAAGAAGCTGCTCGCTGTAGGTGGAGAGAAATAATAGGATTTTTTCCAGCATTAGCTCCTAAGTTGACTTCTAAGTGCTTTCTTTTCTCCAGTAATAACTTACGCTAACAACCACTTTTAATTGTGTGATGGTTGCTAAAATTTACTGGCCAGATGTATTAATAAGTTTTTACCTTCTTAGTAACCAAATTTAATATATTTACTTACAATTAATTCTGTGCAATGAATGTTTATTACAAAGGAGAGAGACTATTTTACTTCAAAGCAACATTAATTTATGTGCAAAACTATAGCTCATTATTTGGGGTGTTTGGGATCTAGGACCCTTTTTATAAGCAGTGTAGTACAGTATAATGTGATACTTAAGTTAAACTTTGCTCTCTCAATCTACATAACAATCTGTTTTGCCTTCTTGATGTAGACTTTCTTGCCTACACTGTTAGAATTACTTTGTTGGGTGAGTGGGGTTCTGGTCAGAGCACCGAAATTTGCCAGACTAACTGAAGGTTTCAAGAGCATTTCCTAAATCTGGCTGCTGTCCCTGTTACTCCCTTCACTTGGTGACAGTTTTCTGGTAAAGCCAACAAAGCCAACAAAGCTGAAGCCCCGTGTTGGCACGGGGGCAGTGAGGGGAGGGAGGTCCTCAGCTTAGACCCAGCGTGGCAGGAGGAGAGCTGTGCTGCCAAGGCATCCAGGCTGATGGGAGCTGCTCTTTAAATGCTGCTTTTGCATCGACTGTCAAGAAGTTTTACAAAGCTCTGGGGAGAAAACAACAGCAGTGACGACATATTTTTAGCTGTGTGATTTCCTTCCAATCTGTATCTGCCCGGCTCTGTGAGGAATGACGTTAGATGTATCACTTAATTTGCTTTTTGCTTTATAAAAGGAAAAACAGTTGTTTGAAACACTTCCCCCAATTTTCTGTGCTCTCTATCTGCTTTCAGACGCTCCCTCCCTTCCTGCTCTGGATGGCCCTTATCCTATTTCCACCTGAGGTCAATAGCACTTCCCTAAATATGTTTCCCAAAGAAGCAACTAAATTCTATATACACCCTGAAAAAATGCCATGCAAGCACCACTACTTTTTTTCATCCTTGTACTTAAAGCTGCAGCTGGTATAGAAATCCCAGATTTTCTTCTTCCAGCCTAATTACTCCTCTCTTTCCTCTCCCCTCTTTTGTGCTGCTCCCTGAAGTATTTTACCTGATGGAAGTGGTTGCTTCAAACTAAAGCTTTTTACTAAAGCTGTGTGGCCTCAGTTTAAGAACCGTGCAAAGCCAAACTCCTCCTCCCATTTTTATTTTTCTGACCATGGGCCAGAGGCCCTAAAACAGGAAAGCAAGATAGAGAGAAAATTGTTTTATACAAACAAACTCTATTTATTCAACTTGCAGGTCTATGAATGTCCACTTACTTTGTCTGTGTGCAAGTGTTGTCTCTCTAATAAACTGAATAGTTGTTTTGTATTTTTTTCTGGATTAAAAGCTTTGTAGAAACTAAAAAGAAAAAAAAAGACATTCAGTCATATTTTTCTAGTCTAGCTTGTAGGATATTTAATGTAGTGCAGAAAGGAAGTTTTATGGAGTAAGACATTGTTGAACTTTGCTCTATTTCAGTTCTTTCTAATTTTGTAAAATGCCACCTGTACATAATACTTGACTAATGTATGTCCTGTAGATGTATTACACCATTTAGCCTATTAAATGCCTATACTGAACTGATTGGAAGAAGCAGTGTATCCATAGTGTCTTTGTTTAAACATGGAAAGGGCTATAGGTGGTGGTCGTGTCCTACCACTAACACAAGGAATGAAGCCCACTCTAGGGCTGCCTTTGCTCCATGACATGCAAATCTCACCCAGGCCCTCCAAACACATGCTCCTGCACAGATAAATTCAGATTTACATCAGTGACAGCTGCCATAGCCATCTCTTTTCTTCGACCCCTTCCTTGACCAGGCAGCTCAACACTCCCTGCCTACTGTTTGAGGATTTGCTCTCTGCCCTGCTCACCCTGCTGGTGCCCTGCCTTGCTGTGCTACCAGCGAGCCCCTTGGCTCATCTTCATTCACCTTTCTATGCTATGCACATTTTAAATGTTTTCTGGAAAGGCAGTTGTGGAGCCCAGCAGGAACTCACATTACTGGAAACCTACACCCTGTGCAAAGAGAGCAGGGTCATGTAGCAGAGAAGATGAGAGGCAAAGATAGTCTGCCAGTGAACAACCAGTTTTCTCCCAAAACGTCAAATTGCCAAAAAACAAAGGATCAGATAACTGGAGGGTGGAGCTGCATCTTACTTACCCAGCTTAGAAGCAGCTGCTGCTCTCTGAGATGGGTAAATCTGCGTGGCAAAGGCTTTTCTCCAGGTCAAAGCCAGTTCCCTGCCACTGCAGGGCTGTGCCTGCTGGGCAGTGCTTGCATGGCAAGGGGAATTTGCTGTATCCCAGGCTGGGGCAGTGAGCCAGCTTTGGCACTGCTTGCACACCTGATGCTTAGTCTCACTCAGTCCTGGAGTTTCCATGCACCTTGCATGGAAAATCTCACGTCCAGGCATACATTACTGTGAGGGTGGGATGGCAGAGGGACTGACACTGCTGGCTCCTCACCTCCCTGGGACTGTCCCTTCCAGCTGGGCTCCTGCTGCGTGGTGTTCAGCCACATAAGGATGCAACAGCTGCTATCTGAGGGCTCCAGGGGATGCAATTTCAGCTGCTGCTGATTTTATGTTGCTGTGAGATCTGTGCAGAGTCCTGGCTGTTTACTTGCCTTGAGTCTGAAGTTAGGGGAAGTGCATCGGTAATGAATTAAATAGGATGAGTGTGGGAACACTGTTGTCTTGCTTCTAACATTTGTATTTTAAACTTGTATCCACTGGATCTGCAGGTTACCCATTGATTTGAGACATTTTCATTTATTTTTAATCAGACATCTGCTTAGTATTTTTCTTTTAGATGTGTTCTCTTTGACACTCCTGTCTAAAGAAGCAAATAACATTTTCAGTGGAATTAGCTTTTTTTAAATGGCTAGTAAGAGACAAAAACTGACTTTTAAAATCATGTTAAACTGAAAAATGTAACATCTAAATTAAATCAAGCCTAATTTGTGTTTTTACTATCTTTTTTTCCCCCCTCTTTTAAATTTTTTTTAAATTCCAGTATTTTTGTGAATCCTTTTGAGAGAAAGGTGATGCCTGGCAGCCTCAGAGGGCCACAACTCCCATAGCAAACAGCACATCCCTCACATCCATATTATCAAAGCTTATGTTATATGCACTTCTTCCACCACAAATTAGAGCAAGACATGCTTCCTCCCTGTGTCTTTTAAAACACATGGCTTTCATTCCAGAGACACTAACTTTCCAAAGTTTAAATTCACTTAGTTCTGGAAAATTAGGATTTGAACAAATTTTTTGGTTTTCCCTCATAAAAAAGAGAAAAAGAGAAAAATAAATCTGAAACATTAAAAAGTTTCAGTTTTTCCTCTAAGAACACTGGTAAAATATTTTCCTTCATTTTCTCCAACATTTCTGCCATTAAGAGCCCAAAAACTTCACATCTAACCTTAGCAGACCTCCGTCCCAGAGACCCTCCCTGAGCTGGGTGGGCAGGAGTGGAGGAGCAGAGGTCTCCAGGGAGGTAGGGACACAGACCAGGGGCTCACACTCAGCTTTCAGATGCCAGACCTTACACCAGAAAGGCCAAGGATCATTTCATCCTGCCTGAGGTTTTGTGCCCACACACCAAAGAAAATCTGTTTAAAATGCCCACAATTGCAGTGAGTCCAGCCATTAAATGGATGTTTGCAATCAAGCCAGCATTCAGCTTCAGCATGGCTCCTGGTGTGTGACAAATTGTCTTTATGAATTAGTCATTTAATTTGTGAAACATAGGTTGGTTATTGTCACATACCCACGTGTCCTCCATAGCCCTGGCAGCTGTACCCCCACGCATTACTATTCAGTAGGAGATGAAGCCATGAAAACCCTTGGGACTGGGATGCTGTTGGGACATACAGCCAGAGTCAGGATCAGGAGAAAGCTCCAGATTTCCGGCACTGGAAACCTAAAAATAACCTATTGTTGCTGTCAGCTATTCACTGATGATAACTTGAAAAAGAAGAAAGAGCACAGGCACCTTTCTCATCAGCTCAGCCCTCCCTTGGCAGCCTCATATGTCCACATTCAAGCTGGTGAAATCTGGCAAGTACAGAACTGCAAAAACACAGAGATGGAGCAACATGAACTGAACATGGCATGAAAGCCAGCAACTCAGCTGCTGTCTCACTGGTACTGGTCTATAATGCCTAGCTGAGAACTGTGGTGGGAAGCAATTGGCTTTTTCTCCCCCAGAATTTACAGCTGAGGCAGGACAAAGTGAACTGGACACAATAAAGGTCTCCATGCAGCTCTGGGTGCGTGGCTCTGGGAGCAGCACGGTTGTTTCTTTGATTCTCAGTGGCTGTGACCAGACTCCAGCACTCCTGTCCCCCAGCAGGACACACATGTGGCTGGGGCCTCCCCCTCCTCATGAGCCCAGGGGCTGGGATCTGTTTCTCTCAGTCTCAGATGTTTCTGTCCATCCTGGTTTTGGTTAATGTGGCCCAGGGGTGTGGTGTGGAGGTGCTGGGATGGCATCCCTTGGCAGGGTGGGAGCTAATACACTCCTGTGAAGGGTCTGCAGAGTGGGAAGAGTGGTGCTTTTTCCATTATGGAACCCTCGAGGTACCACAGGGATGAACAGTCACTCCCACAGTGCTGAAACCAATTCTGCTCCAGTAGGAACGTGAAAAAAAAAAAAAAAATTAAGATGGGTTTTGGGATATTAAATGCCAGGAGGACTTGGACAAGCAACCAGAAAACATGAGCAAAAGCAGAGCAGCCTTTTGACTCCTCCTGGCCTCAGCACCTATTTCTAGCCCAGGGTCTCCCTTTGGACCACACCCGGTGCCCTCAGTTGCCTTTAATGACCCTTTAGTGCAGGGACACATCTGAGGCTGAAGCTGTGCCCTCAAGCATAACTGAGGAGGCACGTCTGAATTCTCTAGTTCACACAGAGGCTAAGGTGCTGCTGCCTATTTATAGCCAGATGGGTTAAATAAAATGTCTTATTCATCCCTGAGGTTTTAAACAAATTCCAGAGAGGACAAAGGGCCTTGTGTCTTTTTCCCCACCCATTTTGTTTTGGCCCGGTTTGTACATGCAGAGCTAAAACTTGTTCCAATATTGATTCAAAATAAGACTAGAGAATTATTTGCTGGCTCAGCGTGAACCACTGTCCTGCTAGAAATCATCTGTAGGGTTTTCACATGCATTTTGTGAAAAAGAAGCTACTAAAGATAATTGAAGACCCACTGATGGCAATCCTTTCAAATTGCTGCTATTGCTTAAGTTCCACTGTAGCTGAGGAATGAGTTTGGTTTTAAGGGGAAGAAAGATGGAATAAAATGAGGGTATTTTAAGCTCCTGCTTTATAGAAATGCTCAGTAATTTATTGAAATAAACAGAGCAAGAGGTGGTGCTTATCACGCTAAGCTGCTGTCCCAAGCAAGGGCAGCTCACTGAGTCTGTTCACTAACAGGCTTCTAACAGTGATGTGTGCCCTTCTCATGAGCAGAGCCTCAGCGTGCTTGGGCAGGAGTGCTGCTGGCCAGTCCTCACTCTGTGAACAATCCAGAGAATGGTATTGCTTAGGTGGTTGCATCTCATCCCAGCAAATAGGAAAACACTGATTGAAGTCACAAATAACTCAGACATGTTGTGATTTTGCCACAACCTGGCATCTGGCTCAGGTCGTGATAAGAACTAATGTAACCAAGCCAAAGCTTTCCTTCCAAGTGATTTGTCTTTAAACTCTTTAGGGGTAGAAAGTACCTTTTGGTTGTTTGTACTGGAGATACCTTAGGAGCACAGTGCTTTGGCAGTGGGGGGAGATCAGCAGGAGCTGCCTGCAGTGTTTCACCTTCAGAGACATGCCTGGCCTTTACCCTGCCTGAGGGTAGAGTTTGCTCCTCTTTGGGGTACCTGTTGCATATTTCCCTCTGCCACCAGCCCTGCTCCACACAGGGAACACAGCTGTGTGGGTGAGCTGGCTGTGGCAAAGACAAAACCAACAGGGTTTTGCTGCATTCACCACTGTCAGTGCCCAAGGCCAAACCAAGAGTGGGCTGAGACAAGAGGAGGGAGGTGATATGGCCCAAGAGCTGCATAACACATTGCCTAAAAGCAGAGTAACAGCAACAGCTCTGAGTCTTTCCAGTTATCTCTCCTGGTTACCCTTGAGTTGACAGAAAAACGATGGACAAATTAACAGATTTGTTCTTTTGTTGTCTTTTCCTCCCCACCCTTTCTGTCCAGAAACGCTTCCATGTGTTTATTTGAAGACATAAAGTGTTTCTGCCATGCAGAACTCTGCCAAGGGCTGTGCTTGTTGTTCCAGATTTGCAACAAAAATGTTGTGCAAATGACCTAGATACATAGACTACAGCACTTAAGTAGGGATTTGGCTGAATCCAGCCTATATACCTAATCAGAAAACATCTACAGGCTTGGGAAAGCATCATGATGGGATCTTACAGTCTTAATGCATAAGTGGTTATAGGTCACATGGGAAGGGACAGGCAATACTGCATTCATGCTGGGAACTTTCTTTTGTCTTGTTCGGTAACATCTGCTGGCCAAAGGAGAGAATCAAAGGAGAGAAAAAGATCATCTTGAGATGTAAATCAACCTGAT